ACTTTTTTAAGCATTCGTTCCACCCTAAATTTTTCTATCACCATCTTTTGTTTTTGCGCTTCTGCGGCATGACTAAAACGAGAATAAATTATTCAATAAATGTTAAATCATACATGACTGACCAAACCAAGCATTGGGGCTATAAGCGAAACGGAAAACCTGAGAATGCGAAATTATAAGGCACTTGCAAAGCTTTGGCAGATTTTGCTTTACGTTTCTGCCACGTTTGGAGAGTCTATTCAATGAGATATCACTTTTTTAAAGAACATTCAAGATTATAGACTGGTAAATGTGTTATCGAATTATATGGCACAAAATTTTGACGAAAGCACATGAAAACAACGGAGGGCTGAGCATTGCATCGCAGAACTTATGCCATCTTAAATATTTTCGCATTCAATCAGTTGTAAATTAAAAAAACACGGTAATTTAACGCGACGAACAAGAGCGCATCGAACTGTACATATAAGGATATCAACAAATAGAGAGCACCATTGCAAGATGGATTTGGCAAGTTGAAGATTTTAAAACATAAAGGTGACAGTACCGCGCAGGATTATGAATAGGCCTAATTGCACCCGAAGTTTTTCAGAAGCCATTATACGGAGGAAGGAAGCACCCATTTCGATGACATAAAAACTTTTCGTTATAAAAATACGCAGAATGATACAGAGGGAAAAGAATTCGACATTCAGATTCAAACTAACGGAAAGAACTCTTCATAAATGAATTGTTCTGAACGGTGTGAACAAATCAAACACGAATAAGAGGCTGGTTTACAGTTCATGAATCCATGCGAGATAATGAAAGGTGTTTTTTTCAACCAGGATCTACTTTATCTGGCTGTAAAATCCTTTTAATTCAAGCTGCATAGCGTAAGCGCATTTAAGAAATAGAAATAGCAGTCGTTTAAAAAAAAAGACTATATTCTGCTAATTTTAATCAAGAAATTATCACACTTTTCGATCTCATTCGGAAATGGCAATTTAGCATTCGCACAACGGAGATAGCAAAATTTCGATGGTTTTCACTGCATTATTAACGTAAACCAGCGTTGCAGAATCAAAAATGATGAGACATAGGTGGCGAAAGGCACTTATTTGCAGGTATTTCCACACACAACCCATGATCGCTGGCCGCCGAAAGTTTTCCGTGAAAGGATGCGCCAATAATGAAATTTTCTATGCTCAATACTCAATACTATGCTCAATTTTTATGATAGTTTCAATTAATTGAAAATATATTATTTCGTGAAACTGCGCGCGGTCGATACTGCCTCGGCTTCCACTGAGGAAGAAGGTGACAATATAGAAAATAAGACATATTCGACAAAGTCTGCGATGATATCCATAAACATAAAAAACAAATGACAGTAATGTGCAACAGAATGGAAAAAACCATGAATAAAGATCGCATCAAGAAAAGCAATAAATAATACGGAAAAATCAAAAAATTACGATAAAACCAACTGGGCTCGATGATGTCCTTGCCGCGACTCCATTGTTTCGAGCAGCGAGCGCATGGCTAGAGCGCTCGACTCCATTGCAGCGAGCGCTCTAGCCATGCGCTCGCTGCTTTCCTCGGGTGGGCGATATGTCTGAAATAGAATGAAGTTTCTCCTTCCACACGAGCCATCCTAATCAAAAACTTATCAGAATTCAATGTCAGTAGTGATCTCTTCCAGATTTGTTCCGATATCCAAACATCATGGAATAAATGGACATTCAAAAATTGCATTACATAGAAAAGTTTTCTCAGGAAACGAGAAACACGCTGGGCAGTTCCCCAATCCTCAACAAGAGATCAATTCTGTCTACAAAATGCGCATCAGCAGTGACTGATATGACGGGTGCAAACAACAATATTTGTAAGCAATGGAAATTCAAATGAACTGACAATGAGAGTTTTGAAAGTGTATCTTAAGAAAGACGCCTTAAAGGAGATCAAGGCTTGAATAACACTTAATAACAATAAAGGCTTAATTACAAACAACGCGTTCTCACGGCATTGTGCGATTGCAGACGATATTGGGTTTGGGGGTCAAACCTAGTGGCTGATATGGGCGAATGCCGCAGACGAGATGAAAATACGCATATAAACAACTCTATACATACGAAGAACATATAAAGAATCACGTACATAAGAACTAACTGAGACAGCGGATTTCGCGAGGATAAGCAGTTTCTTCACACAAACGACGAACATATAAAGAATCACGTACATAAGAACTAACTGAGACAGCGGATTTCGCGAGGATAAGCAGTTTGTGCAACGCAGAATCAGGCATTCATTTTGGTGGTATTCAATGATACCACTAACGCGTAACATAATTTCAACTTAACTCAACAAATTCTGCACGTGAATGCGACAAGCAGATTTACATGTTCAGTATTTGTAAAGAGTCTGATAAATGCAAAGTATCATAGTTCATGAAAATCTACGCGTGGTATATAATAAAGAGCCTTCAATTGAGATGGAGTGATTATATGAAACAAGAATAATAGGACGGAAGACTGGGAAACAAGGGAGTTCAATTGAGATGGAGTGATTATATGAAACAAGAATAATAGGACGGAAGACTGGGAAACAAGGGAGGATTGGCACGCTTCGCAACGATACAATTAACCACAAACTGTAACATCACAAATGGTGCAAAATAACGCCCTCATATTCATTATATACAGAAATCATACGGCGGATTGTTTCCTACCCCTTTTATCGCTAAATTAAGGTCAATTCTCGTGCTTAATATAATTTTGTACAATATCAAACTTTGAGTTTAAAAGCCACACAAATGATTCAACGCGAATATGAAAAGTTGGAAAGAAAATGGTGCAAATTTGGACGATTTGATATGCAAAAAATGAAAGGAAATCTAAGTCTTTCATGTCATATTTGAATCATTATCAACATTTCAAACATAACTGTACATATAAATCAGGAATGTGATAAGCGTGATAAAACACTTTCGATACACTTATGCAGGAAACGAGATAAATGTCGAAAGATATTAATATTGCAGTTGTTTTACAAATAGTTCTCCCACGTTTGCGGCGTGAGCCGAATGAAAATAAATGAATTGATAAATGCTGATTCATAACTGACTAATGAAAACGATTATATGAGTTACAAGCGGATTGGAAAACCAGTGAGCGCGAAATTATAAAGCACTTGGAAAGCAGTGGCAGATTTTTCTATAAGTTTTTGCCACGTTTGTAGGATCAAATCAATGAGATTGCTCCTTTTTTTAAAGAAACATCTAAGAGAACGGATTAATAAGTACGCGAGCAGAGTATATGGCACAAATTTCTGACAGAAGCTCATGAAAACAATGGGACGTTGAACATTACATCGCAGAACTTAGGCCATCCTAAATAATTTCGCATTCAATAGGTGAGTAAATTCAATAGGTGAGTAAACATGAAAATTCAAAGCGACTAATAAAAACGCGAGAATATCATGAGACCAACGGTGCATGCAAGTATATCAACGAACAGACAGCACCACTGCATGTGAAAACTATGTTTGATGCGCAAAAACCTGAAAACGAGGTGAATAGCATGCGGGATCATAATGATTCATCAGAATAAGCTGACTGCATTTGAAAATTGGAGAGAGCAAAATCATCTATATCTCTATGGTTAACTTTCTTTTCAGAATGACTTTTTAGTATGACCGAAAGAATGAAAGGCTCGCGACATTTTTACTAATGAGTGATTGTTCCAGTCATCCAACAAAACAACTTGGTATCTCCGCAATGTGTTGTTCTAGAAGTGAGCAAATGAGGGAAACAGTGCAGGATTCTCTCTGTTATATATAAAATAGCCAAAATAAGATTGCGCAATCGTTCCGAAAACAATATTACAAATTCAGTTTGCCATGAAAATTCATAATGGAGTCGTGAAGTAAAAGG